ATCAAAGCACGAGTTTGAAATCTGATGCCGATCTGGAAAGGTAAACCAAAGTGCAGACTTTATGTCACGCCTAGGTTATTAATAGATTGGACCATATTAACATATTCATATATGTTATCAATTATCGTTATTAAATATATACTTATATTTGCCACACAAGGAGTGAAAGTTGTGAGGGAAGATGTTGTATAAACTACAGAGCGTCAAAAAGCAATACAAAATGACAATAATTCAATAAATCAACACAGTTATATGTATATTACATAGAAAATGGGGGGATATTTGACATGTAGCTTAGAAAATAATAATAGAGCAATAAACTAAGGAAGGTTGGCCTGGTAGCAACTCATCACACTGTTGTCGGAGTGGAAGAAGAAGAAGGGGAGGTAAAGGATGTTTCGTGCTATGCTTTGTTTTCAGATAATAACTGATAAACAAGATATTTCTTCATATCTTTTTTGCACCACGCACTGTAATAGTAGTATATTCAATGATCAACCTAAGCAGTTGTTTGCAAGGGAATACGTAGAGCAAATCATTGAAAAAAGGTTAAGCAAGTTCAATCTTTTGACAGATCAAATGAATGACTCACAAACCTTCCAAATGAAACCTTGGAAGCACTAGAGAACGACTCAACTACCCATTTGCAGAAGAGTATAAAATGGTTTATTAGAAATTCCAAAGTACAAAAGTAGTGAATGGACTAGCCATGAGATCATCAGTAAAGAGTTTAAAAGAAAAGTTATGGATGCATCGCAAAGCACAAACATAGTGTGCAAGGGATCCAATCGAATCCCCATCTCAAGTATCCTTGACGTTGTTTGATTGATTTTAAAGCTATAATGATTGTCTCATCGAGCACGTCTGATGTTGCTGTTATACAGACTGCTGGGAATTCATTGAAGTGCCTAGAAATACTGTTGTAATCAACAATAGAATTAGCACATCAAAGAATAAATCCACTAGTTAGATCCCCGACGGTGACCCCTTAGGCAACATGGTGTTGTAAAGAATGTAGAAAACAGAGCAGTTAGAATCATAATCAACCACAAGTAAATTCATCAAGCGTGTAGACACAAGTTATGCAGTAGACTTTCAAATCATTGACTATAAATACCCTTATTCTAAATGCCCTTTAAACGGGAGCTTTATATTATCTAATAAAAGAGTCCTAAAAGTATTGACCTGTCCTTTTGATAATATAAAACAAATACAAAGAAACTTAGAACAAGTAATATATACAAAAGTTAAAATTAATACTCGCGGTTTGAGTTTGAGTGCTTCCACATTCTATTTATGCCAAGCTAATTGTATTTTTGGAGACTTTTGCAGCAAGTGCCGCATAGTATGGTTGGCCGTAGGTTCCTTTGATTTGGAATCGCTCAAATTCCAATTTCGTTATAATTTTCGCTAAATTCTGGCAAGAAATTGTTGTTTGTCTAATGACAACAAACGTGATGAATAAATGTGTTGATTTTAAACAATTTCTCAATACAAACTTACTGCAAACACAATGTATGGGCACTTCGCTTGTTTTCAGCAAGCATGATTATCAATATTCATTAGACGTTAATATGCTTCTGTAACCATTATTTTAAAATAGTATATTTCATGTAGCATAGGCTGTATGTAAACAGTAAATGACCCTGCATTTTCCTTGTTATTGCCTTTCTTGATACTTTAAAAGGATTTTATGTATTTTTTTTAGTGTGAGTAAGTTATCATTCGATGCGTTTACCTTTAAAGCATTACATCAGTAGGAAATGTACTATTCTTTGTTCTTTTATAATATAAATTGTTTCTTTTGAACTATTGAGATATTATAGCCACGGTGCAAACATTTTTACTTAGAACATTATATATTTGGCACTATTACTGCGGATAACAAGCCTCATAAAGGATTTGTATAAACGCAATTCCTTTTTTTTAAAAAGGGACCTTAAATAGTTCGACGAAAGGTCATAAAAGTAAAGCATAAGCACATAACAAAGCAATATGGGCTTTTAGCATAAATACTTTTGTTTCTTCTAAGGAATTAAAAATTCATTCAGTAGAATCAAATCTTTTGAATAAAACATCTTTTTCCTTGTAATTATTTTACTCTTCGTGTTTAGTGTAGAATATAGATCTGATGACCACAGTTTATGTCTTAACCTTAACTTATTATTAAACTTTTGCGTGTTTTAACTGTCAAACCAAGCCATACAGGGTTTATCTTGTATAAAACTCCTTTTATGATCCTATATTAATAAACAAGCCCACTTCAAGCTATAGAATTACATTTTTTCTATTTTAATGTAGCAATCGGTTCACCAAATTCAATCAGAGGCATAGAAGTACAGGCATATATTTTGATGTTTGTTTGTAATGTAACGGTTTAGAGAACACAAAGACAAAAGAAGTGCTCTTTGTGTCCAATCTTTATTTGATTGACTAATGGTTTTTGAATTCTTAAAGAAAACATTTAATTCGTCCCTGACATTGATCTTATTGTTCATTTCATGATCTGGGTTATGTTACTGCTTTTACCGTGAGAAGGATCATCTTTTAAAGAAGTAATGATTTGTATTCAAAAGAGAGATTCTATTTAATTTGACTTATCGCTAGAAATGTGTACACGTAATCTTATAATGTATGAATTCACTCTATTCATACTGATTACAATCGTTTATCTCAATGTCAGTCATAAGCAGACATTGTTTTACGACATTGTTCAAATATTAACTTGAATATCCACTGAAATACAAACACATGTTTAAAAATGCAGACAAAAGTTTTAATTTAAACATCCGTTATAAACCAAGTATTATTTCTCAATTAAACAAGTTGTTACAATACTATATTCTAATAATTTCTCATCGACTTTTATTTGTATATTAGCTTTCTTTAATTAGTATAAATATTCAATACATATGGAAGCAAATCGGTATCTTTAGACCACAAAAGTACCTATTGCTTACCATTCTCTTTATTATCTTGTCTTTTCTCAATTTAACTTATTTGCTCTTATAACTAAGCTTTAGTGGTCATTTATAAAAGAAGAAGCTGTTATTACCTACATTTCCCAAGCGTAGTACAGCCTGCTACAATATTTTGAAATCAATTCTACAACTCATTTTGAATCATATTTTGTATTATTTTGAAAGCATATGAATATCTGATACTTTTTATCAAAAACCGTATCTAATTCAAGAACTCGTTCAAATATTTTCTGAATTAATCGTTTTACTATTTTTTCTTCTTTTTGATTCCTAAAGCCCTTTAACATATAGGCTTTTTGATATTTTCTGTCACCCAATCTTTAGTATTCCATTGATTTTTATAATATCCCGCTATCACTATTAGTTTTAGCTTACGCTTAAGCTGTTTCCCCCAAAGCTCCTTTATTCAAAAACATCCTTAGAGTAAATGTAACTCCTACTTTTTCTCTTAGTTTTTTAAACATCCTTTTGTTTTATATTTTATTCTATTTATCTCTCATTAGTTTTGTTATAACTGTACAGCGCAAAGAGGCTAGATCACCAAAAAAGAAGTAAGTTGGGACATTTCATTTTAAAAACTCGAAAAACATGGAAATAAGAATGAACAAGAAATTGAGGACGTACTCATGTCCTTGAAGCAACAGCCTCTATTTTTTTAATTAATTTTTTAATTATTAATTTTGCTCAACTGTTTCTTGTAATTTTTTTGTTTAAATTAACTTTTAAGAAAGCTTTAAAAAAGCATGCAGCTGTAAAAATTGAGCATTCGTATTTGTTATGCTACAGTAAGTGTTAGGTCGAGGAATTTCTTATCTATTGTACAGTGTCATTTCAAGATAAATTTAAGTTCATAGAGTAAAAGCTAGTTATTTCGAGATTGCAAGGATTTATGCTTTGAGCTTGATTTTTAAATGATTTATAGAAAGCAAAGACGAGCCATATTGGGTCTTTGTATTTTGTCAAGCTCCTTTATAATACAATTTCATAAAGAAGTAAAAAAAAGTCATAAAGCATCGATATGGTCGAAAATAGTATAATAATGCGTAAAGCATAGTATAATTTTAACAAATTGCAACCAAGAGAGTTATACATTATGTATATTTGCTTAACATATAGGCTACATATATTATAAAATTGGTGTTTTTTAGTGCTACAAGGATTTGGTGTAATAGCAATCTTTAGCTACCCCTGCAGGGGTTTCCGTACACTACGGCATTTTACGAACTTAGACGGTGGACACAAGCATACGCTGATCTTACAAGTCGCCGAATCTATTCGCATAAAGTGCATATCAGGTCATGATGTAGATCAATTACAAATGATCCAGGTACAAAGTAGATATGTTCATGCAATGATTTATTGATTACCTACAAACTTCTGTATTAATGTGCACGAAAGGTTGATCGAGAATGTGGGGGCTTTAGTTATTTAGGCAATGATTTGTTTTGAGTATACTACTAGGTATTATATTGTAGTCAAGCATAAGCCTCTTAGATGATCTTGCTTTTATTATGTGATTCATCGAAGAAAACTACAGTATATAGTTGTGTTTTAAATTAGTTTTTGATGAACTGACTAGAATGTAGCTGTAGTGCAAAGTTCGAGCTAAAAATAAGTTTGTGCATGTGTATATGTATATGTACGTGCTCCGCAACTGCATAATATTCTAGAAAGGCTGTGTTGCATTTTTTTAATTGATCTGTTTGTTGGCTTCTAGAAGTAATGCAGAGATGATTGTACAAACATACAAAAGGTCATATGACAGGCACGCCGTCCTAATAGGCGAAATAGTGAGCACCTGCAAGGGCATTTTAATTAATGAAGTGATTAATAGCAATTATGGGTCTTCCAAGCTTCTAGGAGGTATTTTGTTTATTGCTTAAGAAAAGTACTGTCCTTGTATTCAAAAGTCTATAGCGTTTTTTTTTGTTATGTAAATATACACACGGATCACTAAACTATTTCTTTGGGGTACAGGGGGGAGGGGAAGGAAGAACACGGTCCAGCCTCATGGTTACTATGGTGTTACTTCGTCAACAGACGTCATTTTAGCTCACCCTTCTTTCCTTTCTCTTATTCTCGCTTGTCTCCCTTTTTTTAGTAACGTTATACACTTGAGCGGTGAATGTGGTACCTTGCTATTTACATAAATAAGGAAGCTCAAGATTTTGCAAGATGTTAGTTCTTTCTCTCAAATGAAGCTGATCTACGTTCTTTGCCTATTTACTTTGCTCTTAATTGCTACTCAACAAGTGAATGCTGCATGTGGTGCTGAAGGCTCATGTCACGGTTTCGGAGGTGGAGAGTTGTGTAATGACAGATGCAAACGATGTTCTGGCCCTACTGGAAAATACAAACGGGGCGCCTGCTGTGGTACTTTGAAACAAGCTTGCTGCTGCTATTACAGCTAATTACTGATGTGATGTGTTTAACTTGAATAAAGCAATTACTTTATAAAATTGAAAAAAAAGTGTCCTGTCCTTTTGTTCGGTTTTTTAATTCGTGTAGACGTGTTACATGCTCTAATTGTCAATTACAACAAATAGTCATCAAGAGGCAGAAGAGTGCAATGAAAACCACACGTCCAATACTCAGAAAGCATATTTTTTACGTTTTTGTGCCCCAAATGAAAAGCAATTGTTTCTACTAGTCTTTTTTTTTTTTCCGTTCAATCAAAGCTTTTTTTGGATTTTAATATGTACAAGATTGTACAGCCATTATACTATTACAATCAAATAAAGCCTATTTCTCTTTTCTTGTTTCTTCTATTTAAGCATTTCCAACATTCAAAAGCAAGTTAGAGCCTTCACCCTTGCCACTAGGTAAATAAGCCACTTTGGAGGTTTGTGATAATGTCTGTGCAATATCCTTTGAAGCTTCAATCTTTCTAAAGGCAATGAAACCTTCACCGGCCTTGGCAAGTGCTGAAGAAATCATTTCGGCAGCTTGAGCATCACCTTCGGCACGAATAATAGCTGCTTGTTTTTCCTGTTCGGCACGTTCTACAACAAATTTGGCACGTTCTGCTTCCTGTTGGGCAATTTGCTTTTGTTCAACGGCGTTGGTGAACTCTTTACCAAAGGTCATGTGTGTCTATCAATATATTAGTATTTTGAATGATGATTAACATCATAACTTACAATGGATACATCTTCCAAGGCGATGTTGAATTCTCTAGCACGCTTATATAACTCCTCACGGATCTTTGCAGAAACAACTTCACGTTGAGTAATCAATTCAGAGGCATCAAATTGCGCAACGATAGACTTCAAAACTTCGTTACCAATAGATGGTAAAACTCTTTCATCATAATCTTCACCCAAGTTTTGATAAATGGTCGATAAATTCTTGAGTTCAGGACGGTGCAATACACGAAGTGTCAAGGAAACCATTTGCATATCTTTAGAACCAGTGGTGGTAGAGATGTTACGAGGCTTGGTACGAACATCAAACAGGACTGCACGTTGAAGCCAAGGAACCAAAAAGTGAGTGCCTTCGCCAACTGAGGTGGGCTTGACACCTTGAATACGGTCGAAAATGACAGCACGGTAACCACCCTGGACTGTTTTGTGTATATAATATTTAGAAATGGAAATGACACAATCAATGAATCTTACCATCATACATGGACGATTGGATACCGCCAACAACAAGACCGGCAGGAATAGCAAGCTTTGCAATTTTCTCGAGAATAGCAGCCATGATTCAATGAGTTTTTTATTTTTAAAAAAAAGAATAGAAAGGGCTATTTTTTTATTACCCAGGTTCAACAGCCAATGTGACTTTCAAATAGAAATATACGACTACGGAATTTTCTCACAAGTCAATAAGGGGTGCATCGGCAACAGGACTCTTTTGCTCTGGTTGATGAGAAACTGGTGTTGTTAATGAAGTAGTGTCATTTGCCAGTGGTAAAGAGCGATAATAGTCATATGGATAATACTGTTGTTGTTGTTGGGAAAGATGAGGTTGAGAATAGTAGTTATTGTCTATGGGTGTTGGCAAAGTATAGGGTTGATGACGAGCAATTTGTTCTTCCAATAATCGATCGTATGCTTTCACAACCATATTCAATTTTTGATGTATTTCAATCAATGCACCATGTTTACGTATAGTTTCATCCAAACTCTTGACCAGCTTTGGTTGGAGTGTTCCGACCTGAGTATATAGCTGATTAACCTGTGGATCACTAGACACATCTCCTCCTGATGCAGCCACTCTATCCATTAATGTAGAGAATAGCAAGATATTTTCCATTTCTACCGAAGTCAAATCATCTCGGCTAACCTTTTCTTCTTGCTTTGATATTTCAAGATCTTTCAACGAGGCAGCAATGGCAGCTGCTAAATCTGGATCATCCTCTACGGCAGGCTCTTGTTGCTTTGCCTCATATTTGACATATCCTGGGCCATAGCTGTTCTTTTGCTGTTCTGCTTCCTTTAGGGACAATTCAATCGCTTTTTTTAAATCATCATCAAAATCATTCTCTGGTTGTGGTTGTGGAATATTGGGTGTCTTGGCATTAGTGCTTGGCACAGCGGCTGGTTTGGACGTTGACCCAGCTTTTTCTAATTTTACTTTGATGTAGCATCCATCACATACACGTACAGGCTCATTGATGCCTAGTTGAGGTAAAGGTAATGATTTAGCAGAACATTGCTGACAGAAAGTTCCACCACATCGACGACAGTGATGCTATAAGTTGTTGTTAGCTCAAGTAATTCTTCAATAGGCTCTATTTACCTTTCTATTCGTAAGTGTGAATGGTGTACGACATCTTTCACATACATCTGAATCTGACCATTCAGGTGCCTATTGTTATGTGTTGATGTCAGTTTCTTGACCAAATAAACCATTCTATTTTACTTACAGCAGCTGTTTCTAAAAATATTGCATCCAAGTTTTCTCGAACAGGAGGAAATTGGGTTCCTTCTGCTTTCAAGAGAGCATAGGTATCATGCATATAACCCAAATCTCGATTGTTTCTTGAGGCCATACCCCAGGTTTGAATGATTTCCAACAGCTTGTTCTTTACATCTATATTACAGCCCGTCTGGTGTGCCACACACTTATGAGTTATACATCCTGTTTATCTTTAAAAAGGCACACTTACAGGTGCTTTTAATATCGATACAAGTTCATCCATAAACTCTCTTGATGCTATCTCTCTTAAAAAGGCATTACCACCGTTCTTGACACATGTATCCACAAGCTGATGTATAACAATAAGCACAACAATATCCAAAATAAATATGACTTACAGAAAGCGTAGCAAGCTGAACATTTGGGTTCTTGTGTGCCAGCCTTTTCTTTAAAGAACGCATAGCGTCTTTAGGGTTCACTTTCTTACTTCTAATCTGGTCGCTTATTTCCAAATAGAGTGGTAGGTTTTCTTGGCCAACTGGCAGTAGCTCTGAGGTAGCTTTTTCTATATATATACACATATAGTTGTTAATAACCCTACAATATAATATATCAATATCGTCTTTTATTATTATTACCTACAACTTCATCAAAAGGACTTGAATTCCACCAAGACATTATTTTATTTTATAATAAAGAAAAAGAAAAAGAAGAGGTATACAATGCGAGTTTTCTCAGTTATCAATTTGAAAGTCAGTTGGTCAAGAGGTTGATGCAATGATCATGATGGTACAAGTAAAGATAGCCAATATGCCGACCATGACGAAACTCCCCCATCCCGCCTGTACAAAAGTTGCTTGCTTGAGAAGCAATCTTTGATTCTTAAAGTACTTGCCAATACCTACAAACAAGCATCCCAAGCCAACAGCAATAAACACGTATCCAATTGGTCGTGTTGGATTATCATTGACTGTCTCTTCTGAAGGATCTGGCAGTCGGAGCCTCAGGAGAACGGTAAATCCTACGGAGAGAGAGAGAACCATTAATACAAGTTTAAAAAGAAAAAAAAATGTCCCTAACCTAAGATGATAAGTGTACACGAAAGCCGAAGCCATGTAAGCCAGTTTCGTTCGTTCGCAAGCATATCTCTTGCCATACTGACATCATTACTTGTCACTATAGAGTAATCAAAGATATCTTCCATGAGGTTTGTTTCATATATTTGGCTTTTTGGTGCAAGATCTGCTTGCTCTGGAGCTGTGATGGTTGACGGTCCTGCCTCATTGCTCATGTTGACACTAGATAAAAAAGAAAAGGCGCGCGGAAATCAAAAACTTTTTTTCTTTTTTCTAAAGCTTTATTTGTATAAAAAATATGAACTCATCGTTAGATCCATCAGCCAATGGTCAAACATCAAAAGAATGTGAGATCTGTCATGCTGCGGATTGGAAGTATACCTGCCCACGTTGCTTGATCCACACTTGTTCAGTTCCTTGTGTCAAGAAACATAAGCTTGATACCCAATGCTCTGGTGAAAGAGACAAGACAGCCTATGTTCCTTTAAAGTCATATAACGAGTCAACAATGATGAACGGTAAATGATGATAATATATAGCTGACTAGCTTCTAATACGTGCATATATAGATTATACCTATCTAGAAGACGTTTCAAGGCAATCTGATAATCTAACAAGAGCAAGGCGTGAATTGACATCAAAGAACATGAAACTAAAGCTCAGACAACTTCATAAGCAAGCCAATTACTTGGGGATCAAATATTTTTCATTACCTGTGGGCATGACAAGGAATACAAAGAATCAGAGCAACTATAATCAAAAGTAAGGGAGTGTGCTTTACAAGAGGGTTGTGTAACTAAATACATTATATATAGATCACGACAGATATATTGGACAATTGAAGTGAATTTCTATAGAAATAATGAAAAGAATCATTACTTGGAGCATGGGTAAGAAAAGAGGCATCTTGTTAATGGCTCTATTAACTTTTGGTTATATGCATAGATTCCCTGGAAATAGACCTTTTCATGACTTTTTTCACAACATGCTCTTTTCCGAGACACCTCGTGGAAAGGATTCGTTTAGCATCATGAGGCATGAATTAAAATATTTTATTGATGCTGGTCTTGAACAGTTTAGAGTCGCATTGAAGAAAGAAAAGGCACCAAGAGGAGAGTTTGTGGATGTGACGGGCATACTGGATATGTCCTTTTTGGATACATTAAGAGGGGAGACAGTAGTAGAGTATCCAACGTTTTATGTTTGGTTAAAGGATGATCCTCAGCCTAGTGAGATACTATCATTAGAAGAAAAGCGTGTGTTGATTCGACCATTAAAACGATCACATGAGGAAGTAGATCATGAGAAAGAGCAAGATGAGAAGAGGCTCAAGATGGACAATGAAGAAAGTAAAGTGGATGAATTAGAAGAATTAAATGAAGAAAATAAAGTGAACGAATTAGAAGAAGAAGAAGAAGAAGAAAGCAGAGTAGATGAGTTGTATGAATTAGAAGAAGAAAGTAAACAAGATGATATAGAAGAAGAAAGTAATGATGTTAAAGAGAAAGAGGATACAAGTGAATAAATATTAAACACATACCCTTTTGTTGTATCATTCTTATTGCTCTACTTGTCCTTTTTACGCTTATAATATGAATGTTAATACAAGGCACTCATTCAGTTTGAATACAAGAGTCTGGCATAAAGAGAAAAAAAAAAGAGTGTTGAGTAACTTCTTAAAATAATTCATATTGCAATAATTACGCGCTTTGGAACTATTGCATCTCAGCAGTGATATTTATATCATTTTGTCTTCCTTTTTTTTTTTTCTTTTTTTTTCTTCTTTTACACTTAAAATGATTATTAACGAATATCGTGTTATTAACAACTGTACTGAAAAGGAATATCAAGTTGGTAAAGAGCAACTATAAAGATGGAGGGAACTTTTACTTACTTGGTTTCATCAAGCTCAATTATATGCCACTGCGATGGCATCAAAGAATTCAACTGGAGGAGGTGAAGGTGTAGAGGTGCTCAAGAACGAACCTTATGAAAAACCTGGTGAAAAGGGTCAATATACCTATAAAATTTACCGCTTAGAATCTCGTGTACCTTCCTTTATACGTGCTCTTGCTCCAGCTGGTTCACTTGAACTTCATGAAGAAGTAAAAAAAAAAATAGATTTATTCATCATTTATCTCATTTGTATAATCTTAGGCATGGAATGCTTATCCTTATTGTAAAACAGGTAAATAGACTACCACTATAATGAAAAAAAGGAGGAGGGGGATAATTAAAGGAGAACTCTCTCTCTCTCTCTCTCTTTGTGTCTACCTTGGCAAGCCTTAATAATTTTGACGTAATTTATTAAGGGAGGGGGAAACCGCGGAATTTAAAAGAAAAGAGATAAAGACGGAAAAGAGAGAAAGAGAGAGAGAAAGAAAGGAGGATATAAAGGAGAATATGAACTAACAGATTTATATAGTTCTAACGGTAATTTCGTAACAGAAAGAACAAGAGGTATACGGATATACTAATTATATGATAGAATGGTTATATGGGAGATAACTTTTCAATTGTTTATGAAACCTTACATGTTGATGGATCTCGTGGTGAAATAGAAAATGCGCTCAAGATTTCTGATGAGGATCTCAAGAAGCGTAATGTGATCATAATTGACGTTGCAAATGATCCTATTGAGAAGAAAGATTATAAGCCTGATGAAGACCCAAAGACCTTTAAATCCGAAAAGACCGGTCGTGGTCCACTAACAGATCCTTTATGGAAACAAAAGTGTGAACCAGTTATGACTTGCTATAAGCTTGTCTACATCAAATTCAAATGGTTTGGGTTACAAGGAACCGTAGAAAAGTTCATTGCAAGCTCTATTCAAAACTTATTCACCACTTTCCACAGGTACATTTATATATACATGATAAGCATGATAATATGTTTATTGATATATACACTTATAGACAACTATTCTGTTGGACAGACAAGTGGTATGGCTTGACAATTGAAGATATTAGAAAGATTGAAGAACAGACAAAGAGAGATTTGGACGAAAAGAGAAATGCAGGAGCTCCTGTTGCTGTTGAAAACAAGTAGACTCTATACATATTGTTTATTCTGAATTTGGTATTGATCCTTTTACGACATAAAAATGACCGCTTTTCTTTTTTGCTTTTGTAAGCAGTTCTCGTCCTTTGACCGCATCCTGTTCTATTATATCATCATTTCGAGCCAGCAGACTCGTATCCTCTTTCCAAATGTGTGTTAGTGGCTCAACATCTTTAAAGTCATGTAGTTTGATATGTTCAGTAAACTGTGTGAGTTTATCAATGTCTGACTTTAGTTGTCCCTGTTGTTCTCTTGGTATATTTAAACGTGCAAGACTAAGTAAATGTTTGAATTGTTTATCAGATATAGGTTCTCCTATTGGCTCCATGAGTGCTTTTATGGACCATGTTGGCTTCAAAGGCTACATAAAAATGAATACTCCCATACGCTTTTAAAAAAGGGAGAACTAACTAAAAAAGGACTATTACCAAACAATGCTCATCGACGGGGGCTTATAATAATAAGGTTAGTGCTATTTTTGGCTTGTTTGATGACATACTTTTTGTTGTTGTAAATGTACGCTTCAGGCAATGTCTCAACATTAGGAAAAAAAAAAAAAAAAAAAAAAAAAAAAAAAAAGAAAGGCTAAGAGAAAAAGATGCAAGTGTAACAAATAGTCACAAACACGGGCTTCGGAAAAGAAATGGAGAAACAACGAAATAGAAAAAAGAACTCTTTATTATTATCATAACTTCTTTATGTGTGTCCTTTATATTTAAAAGGCAACCAAAAGGGCTGCAAAGAGAGAAGCAATAAGGAAAGATGCCTTAAATTCAGGAATAACAGCTTGAATTGTCGCACTACTAGGAGTACCTGAGGCGCCAGGAACAACACCTGAGCCAGTTGCAGGTGTGGCATTCTTTGTTACGCTTGCATCGAAACTGGGGAAAGTAATGACTTTTTCAAGATAAGGGTTGGAAATGTTCATACAAGTAGCAACATCAGTGATATGCTTATAAGCTTTCTTGATATCAGGATAATGCTTAACAAAGAAGTCCATGGTCATATTGTTGATTTCATGAGAGAGAACAATGTTTCCGTGAGTTGCAAATGTGCCATTGGTACCCATCTGAATATAGTTGAGATATTTTTGATTGACGGTGTCGGCAGTTACACCAGGTGTTGTACCAGCAGCCCAGTCAAATGTATCAAGGTTCCAAAGAACAGCTGTCATATTCAATTGTGTAGCAATCCAGCGGACACGGTCATCCAGATCTCCCAAAGCCTATATATAGTGCTATTTTTAGTAAATATAATTCAATCCATCTTGGACTATTAACTTACAGGACGCCAATAGAGAGGGGTAACACCTGTAACATACTTGATGGCTTTGGCAGTATAATAGAGCTCAGCGAGTACTTCTTGGTTTGTTAATGTAGTCATCATCTTATGAGACCATGTATGACCACAAAGGTGGTGGTTATCCTTTAAGCCACGAAGAGCGCCGTATGGCCAGTTCAACACATTGGAGCCAATGTAGAACATGGAGGCCCTTTGGCTATTCTGAGCAAGATAGTCATAAAAGGCGTTGTGTGAACAGTTGGGTCCATCATCAAATGTCTAGATGTGTCGTCGTTAGGGAACATTTTTCTAAAAAGGGAGGATATTATATTTAGGGAGATAACTTACAAGACCCCAAGTTTCTGGTTCTGGGCAGTTGACGATATCAGCATTAATACCTTCCTGCTTGGGCTTAGTACATTGTGTAGCAGACCACCAACAGGCCGGATCGTTTGCGGTATCATAACCAGCCAAATTCAAGCCACCTTGAGGACTTAATGTTCTAACTGGGATGTTAGGAGCTTTTGACCAGTCAATGGAGTTATAAAGTTGAGTAAATTCAGCCGAGGTATTCATGCCGTTGCTAGTAGCAATATCCCAGATGGTGGGCCATTGGTCTTTTTGATAAGTAAAGTTTGATTGATAGTAAGTACACTCGGTTGCCACATCATAAGATGTTGTTTGTGGGATTTTAGGGATATTCACATTAGTTGGATCTGTCTTTGTTGGAAAAGAAGAGAGATCGACGGCTCCAAGAACCATCGTACTTGTCAATGAAAGAAGTAAGGCTTGATATTTCCACATTCTATAGTCACAACGAATACAAGAGAAAAAAAGCTAGGAAATTAAATCAGAAAGAGAAGAAGAAAAAAGCAAAAAGGAAATGAACGAGGGCCCTTTTTATAAACTTTCAAAGGATCCACACCAAAGAAAAAATAGTTTAATTAGGAGCTGAAAATTAAATATAAAGAAACTAAAAGAAAAAAAGATTTCTCATAATATGCACACCTACCTAAAGATGGACCCAAAACATTAGCCCTTAATATATATTTCATTGTTACTTACTATTTTCTTCCCTTTTTAGCTCACTTCCGCCTTTCCCCCCTTATTTTTCCCCTTTTTTACTTCTTGTTTATGATTATCATAGAAACAATCGCCATGACAATGAATTTTGATTCATTATGTGTGAGTGTGGATCAACACCGCTGATTTTTTATCGGATCCATTGTTTTACAATGTGATATCATAATTCTGCTTTAAATAGAACTAAAAAGATAATTATAGTTCCGAAATCCAATCAATAAAAACTTTAACAATAAAAATAAATATTTGCCTAAAAAAATTAAGCAGTTTTACTTGTTTATTTTTATTTAGAATGGTTTTCTATTTATATCACTATGGAACCAAGTAGCATATATAGGGAGATGATGTATGTCTGTGTCTAGAAAAAGGGAGAAAGACAAGACGTGTGTGCATATTTACAGTTGGTTTACAATTCCAAATCTTTGTTGAAACTCTATGATATCTTTACTTATTTTTTCAATCAATTCTATTGATTCTTCTTCATCGTCTTTTCCAGAAAGTGTAGGTGTCAAAGGAGCACCGTCTGTTGGGGTCGAGACACTGCTAAGGGAGGAGCACGTGGAATAGGATCTTGATCTACCGGGTGTTTGAATAAGCGGTTGCTCATTCTTTAATTTCATCAGATACTCCATGATCTGCTGCGTTCTCTTGTTCATGTCCGTAATTGTCATTTTGGAATTTGGGTATTTCACTTTGGCAGATATAGGTGGTTCCTCGTTAGGCTTACCATCCGTGTGGTTCCAGTAAGGCGTGACATTTAAAGTTGCTGTTGCTGTTGCTGATGTCGTAGTATTAATTTTCACAACTGGCTTTTCTTCAATGGGTATAGTGGCTTTTGGTGATTTCTTGGTGCATTTCTTTTCAGCTTTATCATTCGATTGACGTTGCTTCTTCAGTGGCTGTTCTTCCTGTTCTACTTCAATTAATGGGCTTTGTCTCGTATGTGGTCTCTGATGGTTATTATTATTACTACTTCTGGTATTTGTCTTTCGGCGTCGTTTGATTGGCCCTTTTGTTTCGGAGATTTTATTATCGGATGGTGCTGAATCCGTACCTGTTGCATCATAAAGTCGCTTTGGTCTGAATAATAACAAGCAAAGAATGTTGAATAGATCTGATCTATCACATATATAGACACGATTTCTATTATATTACCTTCCGTTCGGGTTCTTTATGAGTTGATGAAAATCAGGTCGACAGAGTTCACAGTAATACTGTTCTGGTAACTTTTCTGCTTGCAAGCCCATACAGGAACAGTGCTGCCATACCTCACATTTGTCACATTGTACCATAAGACCAGCACTATCTATAAATGATGCGAGCAAAAGGTGAATATTTTCTCATATTAAATATATACACTGTTACTTACGGCTTTGCTTACATATGCACCTTGTTGTTGAATTGCCATCGCTCACACTGCTGTCCTCATCAGAGTAAAGACTTGTTCGTGTTCTTGTCTTTCGAGTTCTACTTCTGGCATTGTTATTATTGTTGCTTTTATGATTGCTAGTGTGTCTTTGAGCTAAGGAATGGATTAGAAACGAATGACAAGCGTTATGTATATAACCTTACACATAGTTGACAAATAATACGTTGCAAGATGATCAATTACAGTGTTTTATTCACACAAGTTGAGACGAAAAAACGTTTTAAAAAAAAGAAAAAGGAATAAAGAAAAAGAAAGTGATTGTTTACAACATAAAAAAAGGTGCCTTTATTCAAACTTATAAATTAAATGACCGCATTCAAGCATTTTCCAATTTTACACGAATTTCTCCTTGTGGCTCGAGCGGCAACCACCGATCAGGCTGAGCAGATATAGACATAAATTCCTTCATTGTGCTTCTATAAGTACCAATATCTGCAGAATGAAACGTATGGACATCTTTGACCTTGATCTCCAACACCTTTTCTCCGCTCAATTGATTCAAACACACATGCTCATGCCACACGGGTTGACCTGTCTTTTTTGCCTTTCTGGTTTTGAAAACAAGCGTGTTATCAATGCTGATGATGACCACTGGGTTTAATTTTGTCCCATCTTCGTCCTTTTCCCCTGTTAGTCCTCTAGCTTCAACAATCTCCATATTTATCTTGTTGGGTACGCTAACACTCCTTGGTAGTTGCTGGCTCCAATTGAACGCAGTAGTTCCCATTTTGGTTGTCACACGCTGTATCGCTGTCTTCATGAAGGTTGTATGTGTCCTTTTGCGTACCAGTAACTGTGGCTCCCACTTGAGCCGAATGCGGACAGAGGATCGATCCACTCCTTCAACACCATCCAGTGGTATGTCCCATTCACGGGCAAAGAAGCTTTCGACCCTATCCCCTCTTAATGAAATGCCACCAGATCCTACATGAAATCCTTAAGATCTCTATTTTTTTTATGCGTCTATTACCCAATGGAACATCTCCAGACATTTGATTCCAATCAAATACTTCAATTCTAAAGCTTGCAGTCACTCGAGACACTATCGGTACCTGGAACGTTTCTCCTTTCCAAATCGGATTGATTGTTTTCTTGATAGTGGCACTCTTATGCACTACTTCTCCATTGACAGTAAACTTTACATAAGGATCACTTGTACCCGATTTATCAGCTGCCTTGAGATTTTTTGCACTTATCAGTGTAACAGTCAGATTGCCTTGATCTATGTGCGCAAAAAATACGTTTATACATTACACGCGCTCTTTTATGCTTTTCTACTTACTTTCTAAACTCTCATCTGGATTCATCCTATAGTTCAACAAAGGCGTATAATCAAAGCTAAGGCGGATCTGTCCTGCTCCTCCTATCAGGTCGTACCAAACGCCTTCATCCTCTTCAAAGCTTTGTCCATTTCGAATTCTTTTCTGAATGCTGCGAACAATACGCTCACTGCTCTCGTACCAATAGCCAATCTTGCTTTCATCACTTTCTGTCTTATCACTGGGTTTTACTTCTACAGCTATTCTAGAGAACCCTACATCCTTGATAAATGCATCTGACGTCTCCCCAAAGGTCAAAACTTTCCCTTTTCGAATGGATGTTTTGTACTGAGGCAATAGCGAATCGACCAAGAGCTGACAGTATACTTCGAATGGCTTATTAAGCTTTAGTTCGTGTATTTTTACCGTAAGGACACCTGTGCTGTAGGATACCAAATCGACGATATCATCTGGAGTATACCTTGTGCCCTTGTGAATTGCTGGGTTCAATGTTGGATAAAACTCGGCTGAGTAACGTAACTTTGCGTTCTTTTGGTCATTCAGAGGTGCATCTTTTTCTAGCTTTTCTACAAGTGATTCATACCCAATTATATCTCCTTTTTGTTGCTGTATCAGTTCCTTTAGCTGAAGTAAGGTTGATCCCAAAGTTTTATCCTTAGTGTCAGTAGATTCCATCAATTCCAATACTAGGTCTTCTCGTATAGAATGGATAGGTATGTAGTGGAATTCTCCCCATTCAGGAGATACTGTGCGATCAAGGGTCTCTGTTCTTGCTCGCACCTGAGATCCAGATTTGATACGGACGTAAGGATCACGTTTCAAGTTGTCTCCATAGGTAGCGGACCAAAGTGACAGTCTGATGACACCAACAGGTGATGCTATCATGGAAATATTGTGAATCTATAGGTATACATGTAAAACCATATTTAACTTACTGTAAAAACCGGACGCGCCTCCCATCTTTGACAGCCCAGTCATGACAACAGGTCTCCACTGAACGCTTAATCGTAACCTTGCCTTGATTTCCTTAGTATCTCGAACCAAATTCCACCAATATTCTCTTTCGTCTTGCTGTTTGAATATATCCATCAAATAAGCCGACCATTGACCAAGCAAAACTTGATTCAAATTATCAATTAAACCGACATTGATATGTACCTCTGTCTTATCCAGCACAAGGATTTCAAACGATCTTTCAAACTTGGGATTCGTAGTATGCTTGAACGTAGGTGTTTGGAATCGGTCAACTCCATTTATTTTGATCGCCGCATAAGGGTTCATTTTGTTTGTTGATCCTAAATTTCTGCATTCGTGAACCGTAACACGAAGTATTCCAGAATCTAGAAAGTTATAGTTTTCGATTTGGCTATCGCTTTTTCTTAGACTTACTCGAAGGCTCTGGCTCAATCAACGCTCCATCTGCATTTTCTATAGGTTTAGACACAGAAAAATATTTTACGTCAGCCTTGAGATTCGCAACAAACTTGCCGTGACGAAGCATAGGTATTTCTCTATGAAGCAATATTAATATTTCGTTGACTCATTTAAATAATACGCACAGGCCATTCAATTCTAATTCTGGTGCCCTTTCCACTTCTTTTAAATCAAAATAAGCTCTTGCTAGTCGCTTTCCTGCCTTCTTGATGTTGTTGGTCGTACGAAGTTCCATTGTCAAAATTGACTTTAGATCATGAAGTAACAAGAATTTGGTTTCATTCCAGTGAGGATATCGCGTGTCTTCACAGATTGATGTCTTTTCTAGTTCCTGTTGAGCGTCATCCAAGTAAAATCGAACGAATGGATTGATACTTGCGTCATTTGTGGCAATCTTGGAGCATGAGTGAACCGTGATAGCTAATACGCCATTGGCTCTACCTATAGACAGTGTCATCAGTAAGCCAGAGGGGTATCTCTGTCTCTCTTTATCTCTTACTAATATCCAGTTCTCCTGAGAAGAATTTCTCAGCATCAAATTCAAATACATTAGGATAATAAAGCATAGGCCCTAATATAGCATGCGCCTGATCCCGAACAAAGCTCTGTAGGCCAGGAATCTAAGGCAAATATTAAGTTTGTCGCTTGGAAGCATATTTTTTAAACTCACATTGTTCACATCAAATCCAAATGTCTCCCCACCAATTGGCTTGAGCACATAATCAAATACAGGTTTTTCCATAAAGCAAAACTGAGCAATCTTCACATGAGGCGCTTTACTCATCAACTGTAGCTTTATTCGCATGCGTCCTCGAAAACTCATGTTTTCGACCAAAACAGGAAACGCTGTACCCATGAACCCCTTACCCAGACGAATGTGCAGTACAATCTTTGGGTTCACTTTTTGCTCCAATTCTTCTTTGGTCATACCAACCGTACTGTCTGGCTGAAATGATACGGTCCAGTCCATACACTAAAAGGCCTCATCAGTTATTGAAACAAGCTGAATAAAACAACTTACCACCGTGTCTGGCCCTGTGTTCATAAATGTATGCACTTTTTCAATGACGAATGGCTTTGAACCCAGTGTGAATGTGCTCAGACGAACCGAATCCAAAAAGTTGGGAAGGTAATCGACAAGATAGGTATCCAGATTTTCAATCACATACGTGCTCAGAACAGGCTCAAAGATGAGCCAAAGCTTTTGTAGAAACCGGTTAAGCCATTCGGCTCCCTCGATCATTTCAAGTGACAATTGATTTATTTCGCGCTGAATATCATCTTTGGCGCGCTGTCTGAACCGTTCCTGATAGATTTGATAGTAGGAGACTATAAAGTTTCTTTTAATATGAATAAGGTGCTGACATTATGCATATGTTTTTTGTGTGTGCTCTTTGCTACCTATAAACAACAACCCTATCATGAATGTGATTATACCCGATGCTCCTAGCTGAACCATGATATAAAACCCTATGCCAACCACGTAGATAATCACGTCGTCTGACCACAGTTCTTTCTGCTCTTTGTCTCTCTTTTCGGTTGCTGCTACTTTGAGTGTGCCGCCTGGGTTAGGCAGGGATGAAAAAGAGGTCCAGCCTATGTGGGATGTGTCCGAAAGCGGCTTTGATAGCGTGTATCCTGCGACAGTGTGAACAATAGGTCGAGTCTTTGCTTCGACGCTTTCAACAGGTTTCGTTTGAGCTGCCTCGATCGCTTGCTTAATTCTGTCGGCATCGCTTGAGCCAATCTCGGTAGCGAAGCCTTCTTGGTGTTTACCCAAACTTCGAAAGTCAGGGACACGGGGTAGTTCGTTCAATAGTGGTTCTTCCATTTAAGCGGAAAAGGAAAATGAAAATAAAAACAAGGAGAGAGAATATGATTTTTAAAACTAAAATTAGACACTGCAGGATTTTTAAATAATGAACTGTCTTTTTTTTTGTAGACGTAATACTCTTTTTCTCTATTTGCTAATGAAAGATGTTACTAATAAAGTCTTGTTCATTTGTCTAATATACTGTAGTGGCCTTTCCCCATAGTTAGGAAAAACGGCGTTGGTGTCATTGTCGGGTGTTGGTTTTTTGTTTTCTAAACTCGCTTCTGTCTCTCTTTGTTCCGGAACGAAATATCCGGTCCGCATTTTTTTTGAATGACCGTCTGAAAAAAACAAGCAGAGTGGGTGTGAGGTGGGAAGAGTATACAAGGCATCAGGATTCTCGATAAACTGAATCCTTCTCTTTTTTTAGATTTAATTCACTATGGTAAGTAGTTATATGAAAGACATGGAAAAAGTGGATTAACTAACGGATGAATGATTTGTAGGGTCGTGTCAGGTAAATATACAATCCAGTGATTGATGAATGAATGTGGATGTGTTGAGGGAGATACAGAATATAGAAGAAGAGGGGGAATTCGATGAGGATCAGTAATGGAACATTAACATTTGTTTTTAATATAGAACCAAGACTGTCAAGAAGGCTTCTCGTGTCATCATTGAAAAGTACTATCCTCGTCTCACTCTCGACTTCCAAGTCAACAAGAGAATCCTCGATGAAGTCACCATTGTTCAATCCAAGCGTCTTCGTAACAAGATTGCTGGTTTCACCACCCACTTGATGAAGCGTATCTCTCGTGGTCCCGTCCGTGGTATCTCCTTCAAGTTGCAAGAAGAAGAACGTGAACGTCGTGACAACTACGTTCCCGAAACCTCTGCTTTGAACACTTCTAGCATCGAAGTTGATCCCGAGACCAAGGAACTCTTGAAGGCTATCAACTTTGAAAACCTTCCTGGTGTTCAAGTCACTGAGCCCATTGCTGCCCAAACTGATGTCCGTCGTACTCGTCGTGACAACCGTGGCCCTCGTGCTCCCCGTGCTCAAGCTGAAGCTTCTGCTTAAGCAGTTTCTTTCTTTGCTCAATAAAAAAAAAAGCAAATTTATTTGTGTAAAGTGTTTGTAAGGGTGTGTTTACATTTGAATGCCTTTGGATGTCAAATCAGATTTTGCTTGTTGAATTTCCTGCATTTAGAAATTAAGCATGTGTCGTGTAATCATTGATTCATGACTTACACTCATTAGTTCATGATAAGCTTCAGGACAATCACGGAAGGTATATAAGGCATATCCAATATTGTTGAGACAATAGCAGCCAAAAGTCATGAGTGCCCACCATGGAAGCTTATAAATAAGTCATTAATTTGAACGCGCTAATGATTTTTTTTTTCCTCTTACCACAGGGATTATTTTATATTGAATGGTTTCAGGTAAAGGAATGACACCAAAAAATAAAACTAGATAAATAGCAGTTACAATAGCTGCAGTTGTAAATGCTTCAGTTGCTCTTGTCATCTAGAATAATAATAATAATATTTATATTAAAGGGGAGAAAAGAAAAAGATGTCGTGACTAAATATTCCACTTTTTCTTTTTAGCGAAATGGCAAGTATTAAAAATAACAAGTGAACTTTGATGAGCTAATGCACGCTTTTGTATTCAGGCCAAAGATAAAACAATAGGTGCCATATCTTTTTGTTCTCTATTCGCATTATTTATATATTATACAATATGGGTTTTAGTGATGGTAATATAAAATAATATAGCCATAGTTGATTTATTAAGAGTATATAGCCTTTTGTGGATAAGGGACACCCTTTACATAATTACTTTCTAGACTGGCAATACGCGATAAAGATACCCCTGATGATAATGATTGTTTGCCTTACAGTGATACTAACATTTCTGGCCTTGATCATGATTAAAACAAAAAACTAGTTTATTTTCTTTCCATCCTTTTGCTGTTCAAGATGTTTTTCAACTCGCTTCTTTTGTATCTGTCTGAGACTCGGCTTGAGTGCATAGAAAAATCCAGTGCCTATGGCAATCACAATAAAGTGACAGTAATAAATCTGACGCCAGATATGTAGAATACGTGACACATATAACAAATCAAAACAAGGAACGAGCATGTTGAGCAATCCAAAGGAAGCGGCCCATGTACAGACATCATAGAATGTTTTCCAGTATCCTTTGGGTGTTCCATCGACGTTAAGAAAAAAGGGTCTGACGGTTCTACGTACCTGTCTAGCGATCAATTGAAGAACAGAAAGTGTCATGAAAAAAACTAGAAAACAATAAAAACAAGTTAGTCGTCTTTTTTTATATATATCTAAACATTCATTTCTTAATACTTACTGTAGAAGCCTGGATGAAATCCGTGCCACATGGCAGAAACAACATAAGTCAAGAGTGTGCTTGTTGTAGCTCCAAAATGAGCTGACCGCAAATAAACATAGTGTCTTAACCAGTGATTAGCGCCGATATTCCAATTTTCTGATAGCTGCTTATAAGACTGCGCAAACTCACAATAGACAACATTGACATTGGTCAATCGATTCCACTTGGGATGGCCATCCTGATCATACCCATTGAAGCCCATTCCAGCCAAGATACTGGCGCCTTCTGATAGATACCACACAGTATAATATTTACATCTTGTCAGAAAGGCAGATAGTTGAATAAAAAAGATTCTATTTGTGTGCACACGCAAGGGTCAGCCGCATTATCACGATTGTCATCTGTAGGTCACTTACTTGCTCCAAAATGATTTGTGCGACCATGCTGGCTGGAGAGCTTGAAAGAAGTTGTAAGTAGGTCCAAGATAGACCAGTGCCGCGATAAATGCAAAACTTTTGCTCAGTCTCATAAGAGCAGGTTTCCAAGTAGATGTTTGAATCTTGGTCTCAATGAACCGTATATAATCCATGTATTCACATGTCGGTCCAGCCAAGAAGCCAGGAAAGAAAAAGACCCAACCAAAGTATTGAATGAACGAGGGATAGGACGAAATTTTCATTTGCTGGTTATGAACAGACAGATTTTTAGATTCAGCTAAGCGGCCGTCCAATATATTGAAGCCAAACGAAGACAGCTTAATCGTGAGGATCATCATTGCCCCTGAATAATCCAAGTCGGTATCACCTTCAAATCCCTTGAGAATACGGCCAATGTGACTAAGAGAAGTTAGAAAATGTTGTCATGGATACATATATGATACTACTTACCAAACACACATGCTTGCCATGACAACGATAAAGTTTGTCCATGCAGAATTTGTGTACTTCATAAAGAAATAGGAGAACAAAGAAATGGTAAAGGCATGGATATAACCATCGTAAAGTTGAAGCACAGATAGCATAATGAATGTGGTATATATTATGGAAAATACATGCTTGATGCTTGTAGAAGAAATATGTTTAAATAAGATAGCGGAAGGATAGGTGGATAAGATGGAAAATGCCAGCTTTAAGTGATCAGGAGCTACATGCCCACCTAGCAAATGTGATAGTTTGATGAATAAAGAATCCATTATATATAGAAAAAAAGAAAAGAAGAAGAAAAAGCTTATCTGGATTCCCCCCCTAAAAACCTCACGTTCTGTCACTCTCGTTCTTCTTTGCAGGCATTTAGACGAACAACGATAAATTGAATGACCGATTGCTTTTGCTTCATCAACGACATTTCATTGGTCAATTTTTTTTCTTTCGCTAATGCATTATTGTTGATCTAGCATAGTCCTTGCTGCCCTCGACCCAATGACGCTTTAAGTTTTGATTTGACCATAATAGACCACTAAATAGCAATTTCAAAAGGCAAGTATAGAATAAGCATTTTAAGCTTACCAAAAAGGAAGGTTTAGGTATACTAAGCCTCGCTTTTTGATTCATGTAATCAATTTAAACACGGTCTTTTTCTATTTTCTGTCTTAATTGTTTTCAGCAAAGAGCCTTCGTTCTATAGTGTACTTTCTTATGATTTTCATATAAAAAAAAAAAAAGAACTAAGATTGTATATAGCAATTGCAGCATTATTAAATATCTTACACTTACCTGATCCATAAAAGGTCCTTGTTAAATGTGTTCGGCTACAGCTGTCTCAGGTAAGATAATATTTCATTTCATTCCTCTCTGTACTTAAATATGTTGTTGTTTACCAGCATCGCCAGCACAAAAGCTGTGATTCTATTATCGTACTTTGTAACACGTACCAGTAACACTTGAACTTATTGAAAAGGCATACAAGAACTGGGAACTTTTTTATTCTTGTTAAACACTTTTGGATTACCAAGAAACAGGAGACTTGTTCGGTAAGCTTTTTTCTTTTTTTCTATTTTCACTCGACAAACAATGGGTAACCGATTTTCCGCTTCACGGATGACTAAGAGGGTACGTAGGGTAAATACTACAGACCAAGGCGATATATCAAGCGAAACGATGAATACACACCAAGAAGGAGCACTTGTGACTGATACCATTACTGCTACAAACCTCACGGCTCTCGGTTTAAGTCGAGAATTCCATAACGAGGAATCATCCACCTATTGGTTACCAAAAGATGATGAAGAGCAAATGAGGCTTACAGGGGTATAAGAAGATACTATAGTACATACATGGTTTGCTAATCATTTTACATAGCAACATTTTGCTATCAAGGATTTATATGGAGGGTAGTGTCTTTGCTGTACGTGAACTAAAGTTATTGATACTTTTTTTTTCTATAGAAATGTGCTATCTGGTGTAATAAATACCTTAGACTTTGAAAAGGGGATTACCATTCTTGACATGGGATGCGGTTCTGGCGCATGGATTATGGTAAGAGATAGATTGAACTGTACATGTTACTGTATGAAAATATCCTGCTTATTACTCTTTTACTGGATAGGATATGATGCGCGACTATCCTAATTGCACCTACCATGGCTGTGACATTTCTGATACAAGATATAAGAAAGTGAATATAGAAAAGTTCATTTTTACCTGTGGAAATGTGGTCAAGGGACTCCCGTATGAAGACAATACCTTTGATTTTGTTCATATGAGACTCTTGGTCCTTGCACTTCGCGAAGAAGAATGGCCAACAGCCATTAGTGAATTGATACGAGTGACTAAACCAGGAGGAATGATACAGCTACTAGAAATGGATCTCAGACAACAGGTAGTTGTTCTTAAGCTGATATTATACATATGTACAATTAACTGTGAGTCGTTTTCTAGCAAGAGGATGATCCCTCTGGTGCGCTCTATAAAGTTGGATTGGCCGGTAGGTTACAATGCATAATATTCCACGCCAGGTAAATGAACAGTTTCTTTATACTAGTTAGAAATATATGCACATCAAAAGGACAAAACCCTAGTATTGGGACTGAATTCGAAAAGATGCTCTCAAAGTACAGCAATATAAAGATTATACAGTCTGATGATAGATCCTGCGATATGAGTAAGTATTGGAGCAAGGTCAGAGGGAACAACAGCTAAACTAGTATAGGCACAGGCACAAATACAGCAAAGTTGTTTATTTGGGACTCATTGCAAGTATTAAAAAGTATGCGACCTGTATTGGCCTTAAAGTTGGGACTAAAAACCGACGAAGAATATGACAGCTTCTCAAAAGAATTTGAGCACCATATAAAAACAAAAGAGAGCAGATGCTTTTACAACTCTATTGCTGTCCAAAAGCTTTAATTTGTATGAGCACATGTAGTAATTATGTACTAACTAGAAGACTAATGAATAAAAAACAACGTATTATTCATTTTATACTTACTGAGGCGTTAAGGAATGCTCTGCCGTTATAGACAGCGCACTAAATCCAAGACCACCATTAGTCTTTTGCGAGTCTTTTGAAGGGGAGAGGGCTTTCATTATCATGTTTTGATTTGTAAACATCGTGATTCCGTGTCATATCACAAGATTCACACTTGAGAATAGAATGTATTCATTTCTTTCATTTTACACTTGTTACAGATCTGGTTCGTTAAATACTCGTCAACGTAAACAAATTCAGCTCTCCCTTTAGGTTGTTTGCATTTTCGTTTGATTTCTTCAGTAGTACGTCTAGTAGGTGCAGCTCGTTTTCCTTTC